GTCCTTCTGTTACTGTATTCATTGGGTGTGGTGTCAACAAAGGCAGCCTAAAAGTCATCCCTTTTTTTTTTTTTTGACAGGGTCTCCCTGTAGCTCCAGCTGGCCTGGAACTTGCTGTGTAGACCAGGTGAGCCTAGAACTCACTGAGATCCTCCCACCTCTGCCTCCTGAGTGGTGGGATTAAAGGTGTACACTACCACACCTGGCTGTGTTCAATCTTCTTAAAACTTTAAAACTCCCTAAAAAATGGGAGAGGGAAACTTCAGGTCACTGGAACTTCCCAAAGAAGTATTGAATGATATTCTAAAGTTGTGCCAGCTATAAAAGTCTGCTCCACTGGCAGGGATCCCTGTTCCTTACTTCAAGGACAGCAGACCTGCTTTTGTTAGCACCCCTAGTACATATTCTTATCATAGTTGGCCTCTGTCCATCAATCTAAGAAACAACCTTTGACATATTTACTTAAAGCACATCATCCTACCTGTGTGTTGAGCTTTTTAAAGATTTATTTAATTTTTAATTATATGTATATGTAAGTGTACCTGTACCGGAGCCCATGGAGGCCAGAAGTGTTGGATTCTCTGGAGCTGGAATTACAGGTGTTTGTTAACCACCTGAAGTAGGTGCTGGGAACTGAACTCAGGTCCTCTGGAAGAGCAGTATATGCTTTTAACCACTGAGACATCTCTCCAGCCCCGATGAGCTGCTTTTAAACCAAAGAAAACTGTTTGCTATGTCCATATTAACCTGTTTTTATATTTAAGAGATGACTTCTTTATCACCTCTAAACAAAAGAGGCCAATAACATATCAGTGATTTTTTTTAATGTAAACTATTACATTTGGTAATTACATTTGGGTGCATAGATCCCAAGTGTACATCTCTATGGTTATTTATAAAATGAGCATGCCCATGAAACCAGCATCCCAGGAGTCCTCTGCTGTCTGTTCTAGTCAGTTCCCCAAAAGTAACTGGTTGATTTCTTTCATCACACCTTACTTCTTCCTGTTCCATTCCATTCCATTCTATTCCATGCCATGCCATGCCATGCCATGCCATGCCATGCCATGCCATGCCATTCCATTCCATTCCATTCCATTCCATTCCATTCCATTCCATTCCATTCCATTCCATTCCATTCCATTCCTGTTTTAAATTGTAGTTAGTACATTCTGCATTCTTCATGGTTTTCTTCTTCCTTTGTTATTTCTTGCAGTGCTGAGAATTGAACCCCAAAACTCAGTCATCATAGGCTAATGCTCTTCTATTGAGCCACTCCTCCAACCCTATCTGATTTCTTTTACTCTTGATTTTTGCATAAAGTTCATCTGTGCTGTCATGGGTAGATGGAATTAGTTTATTCTCATTGCTAAGTTGTATTCTATTGTGTGACTGCATGTCAGTTGATTTATGTATCTAGTTATTGGTTGACATCTGAGTTGTTAGAATTTTTGATATCACAAATAAAGTTGCTGTAGACACTAACTTTTTTGTGTTATGAACACATTTTTGTTAGAGATTTACTTATGCTTGAAATTGCTGAGTCTATGGTTTTGTATATTAGGCTCAGTTATAGTAGATATTGCAGTTTTCTAACGTCGCTCACCAGTTTGTTCGTGCACCACTAGCATGTGAGAGTATTTGTTCTACATTTTTGCCAACACATTTGTTATTCTTTATTATCTTGTGTGTGAGTAGTGGTATATCTTTGTAGTTTGGTCCTACATTTTCAATAATTTTTTTAGGGACAGCAGCTTGACAGTAATTCTAAATTTTATTTAGGGAAAATCAGAATAATCATCAGGCCAAGAAAGGTCCAGGAGTAAAGTAATCCAACATTTTTAACCTTTCATTTGTTTGAAAAATATTTATTGAACATGTTTCACTGCCTGACACCAGTCTGGGAATTTGAAGAAACATCAGTGAAAACAACAGGCAGGAAGTCCTGTCCTGGCAGAGCCTTCCCTCTACTGTAGCCAGTAAAATGTAAGCTGCCTTGCAAGGGTAGACAGGTCAAGCAGAAAGGATGATTCTGGAGTGGCTCCAATGTTGGGAACTGCCAGTCTACCCTGGGTTTTCTGGTGGGATTTCTGGCAATCTCAGAGAACATGCTGGCCCCAGGAAGCTATTCCAGCTTGTCAGAACTGGAACTGGAGGTGGAGCCTGCTTATCGAGATTGTTCCTGATGAACATAATTTAGTACTAGAAAAACATGTATCCTAAAGTTCAGGGTAGGGAGAAGGATTCCTTTGTGGTTCTGGAAGAGTCGGTAGATTATGTGGAAAAAGCTAAAGTTGGAGTATCGTTTCCTCAGACCACACACAAGCAAAGTGCTGATATACTAAGACCCAAAGGCAAATACAGATTGTCTTGAAAAAGGCTTAGAGAAACTATGTGTTGATATTTAGTCTTGAGATGAGAAAAGAGTACATTTTTAAGGTCAGAAAAGTAATGGAAGGATTTGCAAAGGAAAAAAAAAGTCTATAGACTCAATTACATAAAAATACCAAACTGGAAAAGTATTTGCAACAAATATGACAGAGGAAGGGGGAGAGAGCATGTTCTCACACCGTTGGTGGAAGCGTGAATTGGTACAATTGTTTCCGGAGAGCAGTGTGATAATAAATACCAACGGCCTACTAAAGTTCCTGTCCTTTGACTCAACAGTTTCTTTTTCAGGAGTCTAGCTGTTGAAAATAGGAATTTAGACAAAGGTTATATACAGAAATGGCTACCTTAGGTTTTTTTTACAAAATACTCCAAAACTGGAAATAATCTAAACATCTGCCAGTAGAAGAAAAGTTAAATTGAGTTTTAAAATAAGTTAGTCATTCTAATAGGGAAACATTGGTATAACTCTAAATTGTAGGGTTGCTATCATTAGCAATAATTTGTCCCTTCAGATTTGTTTTGTCTTCATTTAGAAAAATCAAAATTCTTCTACACATCTGTAAAGAGCTCACCGAAGGATGGTGTGATCACTGGGCCATCTCTTTTTTTTTGATCTACATGTGAAACATACATTGAAGATTAATATTCTTGCCCTCCCACAGGGCCTCCCCTAGGCGGTGGCCAGGACTGGGTAGCTGGTGCTGAGAGAAAACCATTGTTGCGTCCTTGTACCAGCAACAGATGTCACTCAGTGGGACAGGGTTGAAGAAAAGAATTGTTTGATAAAGCAAAAACAGAGACCAGCAAGGTAACTTAGTGGGTAAAGGTACTTCTAACCAAGTCTGACAAGCTGAGTTCAATCTCCAGGATCTATATGGCGAAAGAGAGAATCAACTCCAGGAAGTTGTCCTCTGGCTTTCATGTGCATGCTGTGGCATGTGCATAAATAAATAAATGTAATAAAATAGTAAAACCAAGCAAACAGTAATATAGAACATTTATGAAGTGCTCATTATGTGTTGGACATTGTGCTTAGTGTATTTCATGATTACTCCATTTCTTTTAGGCATCAGCTGAACAGAGCTGGTGATATTACTATACCCATTTTATAGATGAAGCATCAGAGGCCCAGCAAACTTTATTTACTTGTATGAGTCAGGTAGTAATAGGCACAACCAAAACCCAAAATTTTGCAAAGCCTCTTAACCAAGTGCACTGTGCACTTTGTTACCCTGGCTGCCAGTGTGTTCTGGTTACCCAACCATCCTGATTTCAGTTTTTTTCCCTCCCCTCTCTTCGCTGTTTTATCTTGCATGCTATATCCCTGTGTTGGTTCTGGGCATCTCCCACAATCCCATAGTCCCCAGGAACAGGACTCAACACGGTCCTTCTTACCCAAGCTGGACCAGATCCCACAGTGAACACTGAAGGAGCTTCCCATATCAGTGAGATCTCTTATTGGCCACCACTGTGTCCTGCTAAGAGGACATTAACTAGGGAGCCAGTTAGTGCCTGCTTCCATTATTACAGAAGATGCCACCTCACTCTGAGTCACTTTTCCAGTTCGCCATCTTTTCTCATAGTTGTAAGTTGCCATGATTTCTGTTAAAAGATGAACAATTAAGCCATTACGCTCTTACAATTTGAGTGAATTAGATTCAGGAATTGGGCAGCATCTGACCCCAAGGGGTTTGGGCGCAATTATAAGGGTAGAAATATCATAAAAGAAGTAAAACAGAGAAAATACATTTGGTGAAAGTGAAAGTGCAGAGTTAGAGGCATCTTTGGGATCAGCTTTGCTAACCTAAAGTTTTGTTTCATGTTTTGTGTTGAGTTGGGTGTGGGACCGCAAGACACAGGAAATGTCTTTCCCTACCACCTCCCAGTAATCTTACTTAATATTTCAAAAGTTTACTTTTTTAGAAAGGATATATCATGGAGCTTGGTGCTCATGCCTATAATCCTAGCTCTTGGGAAAATGAGGCAGGAAGATCTTGTGTTTGAGGCCCTCTTGACCTTATAGGGAGGTCCTGTAGGGGGCGTTCTCTGTGTGTGTCAGTACAGCTTCCTCCCTGTCTGCACCCCCCCCAAGTTGTGATGGTAAAGACTGTCATTTTCAAGTGTCCCTTGTAGGGGAAAATTCCTATCATTGAGATCCACTGTTAAGGGTAAATTATGACAGCCTTTAATGTGCTTACGTTTTCCTTTGAAGCCATGGGTGATAACTGCTGTTTTAAAGAATGCATTAGTATATCTGATATTTTCTCCTTTGACTATTTGCAGTCTTTTCACTATTGATTCCATGAGAGCGTACTCTATTTATTATTTTTATTTTATGTGTATGAGTGTACTGTCTGCATGTATGTAAATCCACCCATGTCATGCAATGCCTGTGGAGGTCAGAAGAGGGTGTTGGATCCCCTGGAACTGGAGTTATGGATGGTTGTTAGTCACCATGTGGGTGCTGGGATCGAACCCAGGTCCTCCACAAGAGCAATTGGTGCTCTTAACTGCTGAGCCACTCCTCTAGTCTGATGAGTACATACTTTTTAATAATCAAATATATTAAATAACATTTCTTCCCTCTCCCCTCTTTTTTTTTTTAACAGTATGCAAGCATTGAAAAAAATGGTGAATTTTTTATGTCTCCCAATGACTTTGTCATTCGATATTTGAATATTTTTGGAGAAAGCCAGCCTAACCCAAAGACTGTGGAACTTTTAAGTGGAGTGGTAGATCAGACCAAAGATGGGTATGTATGCTTATAGTTATCTTTCTTAAATTATTTCATTCAAACCAGCTTTCTTTTGTTTAATGATCAAGAAGTCATTAAGTGTGTGCCATCCTGTCTGCTAAGAGCATTGTTCTCTACCTATTAATCCATCATTTTAGAAATTATATACTTGATATTCCTTCAAGGGTCATTTTATAGTTGGTGATTTTATGTTTGAAATCCTTGTTTATAGTTTCATGAGGCTGTTGTAATTGATAAGGTGGTGTGAAGATGTATGAGTGTATGTTTGTATTATTCCAGGCAGCTCTAAAATTGTAACTTCATCACAACTCCACGGACATAATATTTCTACAGAGTTTGCCAAATCATCTTTAAAATTTCATATATAATTGCATGGTGTGGAAATAGGAAACAGAAAAATCTGATGACTCCAAATCACCAAGGAAGCAGCCGCTGAAGTAGGGACTCCACTATATAGAGCCAAACAGGACACTTTGCAGAGTGTCTTTGTCTTATTTCCTGCTACCAACTTTCTCTGCATTTTCTCCCAAATTGGAATTGGTAAATTTTGCCTTATTTGGAGGAAGTGTTTTAGGGGTGGGTGCAATTAAGAATTTTGAGATTAAGGAACTAGAGAGATATTTCAGTGGGTAAGAGCACTGAATGCTCTTGTAGAGGACCTGGGTTCAGTTCTCAGCACCCACATGGCAGCTGACAACTGTCTATAACTCCAGTTCCCAGGAATCCAACACCCTCTTCTGGCTCCATGAGGATTGCACCCATGGATGTACTTACAAACATGCGGACAAAACACTTAAAATAAATAAATAAATTCCCCTCTCCAATTTTTTTTTTTTTTTTTTTTTGACAGGGTCTCCCTATTCCCAGCCCACCTGGAAGTCATGGTGTGGACCAGGATGGCTTTGATCTCACAGAGATCCACTCTGCCTCCTGAGGGCTGGAATTAAAGGTGCCTGCCACCACAACTGGCGTAAAAATATATTTTTTAATTATTTTATTATTTTTAGTTTATGTGTATGAGTGTATTACCTGCTTGTGTGTAAGTGCACCTGTGTTGTGCAATACCCTTGGAGGTCAGACGAGAGCATCGGATCCTTTGGCATGGGAGTTACAGACAGTTGTTAACCACCATGTGTGTTCTGGTAATCGAACCTGAGTCCTCTGCAAGAGCAGCTAATACTCTTATCCCCCGAGCCATCTCTCCAACCCCATAATAATTTTTTTAAGAAAAGAATTTTTTAGATGAGAAAGTTATCCTATATTATCTATATGGGCCTAAATTCCATCACAAGTGCCTTTGAAAGTCAGAGGCAGAGGGAGATGTGACACAGGGAATAGGAATCAGTGTGACTGTAGGGCCTGAAGTCAGTTAGGCATCTGCAAACCACATGCAGCTACACAAAACTGGATGGATTTTTACCAGAACCTTGGGAGAGAGGCTGTGGCCTTGCTGACACCTTGACTAAGGATTTTGAAGTCTCCACACTGTGATAGAATACATCCTTGCTGTATTAAGTCATCCAATTTCTAGTAGATTGATTGATTGATTTTGGTCTTTTTGAGACAAGGTCTCCCTGTAGCCCCAGCTGACTTAGAACTTGAGATGTAGACCAGACAAGACTGGCTTTGATCTCAGAGTTCCACCTGCCTCTGTGTGCACTACCACATCCAGCTTTGTATGCGGTATGTTCTGAAATATATATTTATATACATATACATACATATATTATGGAATGGTTTAAATCAATATATTGATTATGTCCTGTACGTGTTTTGCTTTTTTGTATTGAGAACATTAACTGTCTCAGAAATTTTCAAGTGTACAATGCATTTTTATTAACTACATCATAATGTCCAAAACAATCCTTTGGAAATTTTTGTCCTTTGAATGTCATTATCCCAGTGCACCCCCCCCCCCCCCCCCCCCCCCTTGTGATTGCCATTCTACTGTTTGCTCCTGTGATCTTGACTAAAAGATTCTACCTGTAAGTGAGCACGTGGCTTCTTTGTCTTTCCATGTCTGGCTTATTTCACTTATCACAATATTCTCCAAGTTCCTCCATGTCACAAGTGGCAGAATTTCTTTCTTAAGGCTAAATACTATTCCATATTAGTACATCTCTAATATATTTGTGTGTTCACCTGTCTGCTGATGGACACTTGGGTTGACTCCATTATCCTGGCTCATGTGACTGGTGTTACAGTAAACATGGGAGGATAGGTATTTCTTCAATACAATTTTATTTCTGTGTTATAATAGGGTATAGCAGTGTAGAAAGCTTATACCCTCATGGAGCTCTTTTCTTCGGGGAATTAGAAAGCCTATAGTGGTGAAGAATTTTTGTTGGTCAGTGACCAAGATTTGATTTATTAAAAACATCCTGTGGGCTGGAGAGATGGCTCAGAGGTTAAAAGCACTGACTGCTCTTGCAGAAGAGCCAGATGCAGTTTCCAGCATCCTCATGATGGCTAACAACTGACCATAACTCTAGTTCCAGGGGATCTGATGCCTTCTGGCCCCCACGGGCATTGCACATAGTGCAGTTACTTAGATATGCAGGCAAAACACTCATACATATAAGACAAATTAAAAAAAATTTTTTTCCAATGATTCCTTTTGGCTGATCCAGATATTTGACAGACAGTAACTCCTGCTATAAATTGCCTTCGTGAGGGCATGGCCCTTTCTGAAAGCTTCACCTCTGTGTAGCATGGGGTTCAAATCTGCAGCCAGGATAAATTGCTGTGCAACTGCATGACCTTCACACATAAACATTTCCAGCTTGCTGGAGCTCTCTTATTTCTAATTTAGTGATTCATGAGGCAATGACTTGGTCAACCTTTGGTTCTGGGAGCTTCTTGCTGGGCTCAGTCCTGTTGCCATGCAGAGGCTATTGGAGAGCCTTAGTCCTGTCCGGTACTGTGTGTTGAGGATAACATCGTGAGTGGGACAAACACAGTGTTTGCCCTCTCAGAGCTTCTTTGTTGTTGTTTCAAAATGACATTGCTGTATATCCCAGGCTGGCCTCAAGCTCATAGCAATCTTTCTGCCTCAGTCTGCCAGGTGTTGGAACTATAGTCCTGTGCCATCATACCAGGCTGAACTATGTTTGCCATCTTACCATCTTGGACTATAGCTTCGTTGGTTGGTTTGTAACTAGTGGTCAGGGTCTGGGCTAGGTGTTTCCAGGTTCTTGTGTTCACTGAATTTAAATGAAAGCCCACTGAGAGTACAGAGTAGCAAAGTAATTTTATTTAAAGCAAAGCAGTAATAAAGATCAGAATACACTTCAAAAGAAGTGTCAGGTCACAAGAGTGAAGATACTCAAGGGCTCTCTAAGAGTTTACTTGAGGACACTGTACCAACACCAGTCTGGGCTGGATCAGACTTTGCATCCTTTGTACCTGGATACATTGGGAATATATATGGATGGAAACTGTTTAAGTTTGATTGTTGCTAGGGGAGGAGAGACTTACTCCATTATTAGAGAGGGTTGTACATGTAGCCAGATGCAGGTGGGGATTGGAGGTTGCTAGGTGCATTGTTCAGAGAGGAATGTGAGTGGTAAAGGAGCTCGGCTGCCAAACACATTTTTAAAAGGGGAGGTTGTTTATCATCCAAATTAAGTAGAACTCCAGGTTACCAAACTATTCTCTATGCCTGCCTCAGGTAGATTTGGTTTAGTTTGGCTTTTGAGTTAGGGTCTGGCTAGCCCAAGCTGGCCTGATACTCTGTGTGTCTCAGGTCAGAGCTAATCTGTGTATGATGTTAATCAGAAAACTACACTACATGTGAATCAACATGTGAAGAGATTTCCCTGGATTATCTCAGCAGCCCTAAGTTCTATCCCAGGAGTCTTAGTGGGTTCTAAGTTCTATCCCAAGGAGGAAAAATGCAAACACACTTTGTAAGATAGTGACAGAGACCTATTTGTTATAGTTACAAGGAAGAGCTGAGGCCCTGGCAAAGAGACATGGTATGAGTTGCCAATAAACTTCATTATCTCTGTGAGGTCAGGGAAGATATCCCATGAGTGAACGGTGGGCTCTAGGACTTCAGGTCAGGAACAGAAGATTGAACATTTTGGGCAGAAGGAACAATGTGGGCCATGTCTAGACCGTGTAGGGCTTGTACTTCAGGGTAAAGATGGGAGTGTTTATCTTAAGCAGTGGAGAGCCACTCAAGGCTGGTTTGAATCAGGAGGTTGGCATGATTTCCTGTGTGGCAACATAATCCCTGTTGTTATTCTTTGTTGTGTTTAGATTTCCCTTTGCTCCACTGTCTTAATCGATTTAATGATGGCTTTAATCAATTTCTGAAGGTCCTTGGGGGAGATGAAAAGGGATTTTGAATGCCTGGGGCTGTAAGCTCTTGGTTTGGGGGCCTCCTGAGTGAGCAGGGCTTGCCTCATCACATCTGAGGTTGGGGGAAGAGATGGGTTTATGAACTTCTTAAGGCCTGGACCCTCTTACTGAACCATGTAACTGAGTGAATGTTCTGCTTGCTATTGAGTTTGTATGGTTTCTGATGTGTATTTTAGATTTAGTGGTGACTATAGTTTTCATTCATAATGGAAATGAAGCTTTGTATATCTTCTAAGTATAATTTTCATATATGGTTTATATGACTTATCTATTAAGAGGCAGGTGGAAATCTCATGTTGGTCTCCCTGAGCTTTTCAAATATATTTCTGTTTGTTTTTAACTGTTACCTCATGAGAGCAAGCCAAGACCAAAAAACTTTTCACTAGTGTTTACCGGCTCACCTAGGAAGATTAAGAGGGGCTAGAATGCGCTGGGGCTGAATGCCTGGCTGGCTACCTGCCACAGGGACTGACCTCTGTTTGTCAGGGGCTCGAGGTGGCTGGATTATCTTATTGACTTGCTAGCGTCACATAATTAAGTTTACCACAGACAGTTGTCCCTTGGTGCTCATAGTGGATTGGTTTCAGGACTGAACAGGACCTTGCCATTACCAAAGTCTGCCTATGTTCAGG